ATTTTAATCCACTAGGCTATTGTCCCATAACGTATATGCTAGGCCTTGTAAGAAGGTTCTAGCATATGTCCTCGGCCGGACAGTGTCAAATTCATCAAGCCCTCTTTCCTCATTATGAGTCCTTGGAATTTCAACTTTCTCATTCCAAATATAAGTGTTCTTTTCTTTTTTCATTTCTCATTAAAATTTAGTTGCTTATATCCTCCGTCCGGCATCCTTCTGTAGGACAACATTTCTGTTCCATTAAGTCTCTTCTTTATCTGTCAGAGGACTGTCCGGCATTCACTGCTATATTGGAGGACTGGTGATACGTTCCACATTTGTACATTTTTGTTCAATAAATTACATAGCAAATACTGAAAAACAGGCTATCACTTTTAACAGCATGATAAGCTAGGTTTAATTAAAGATTCTAATGGACAGAAAATGGGGATTTGCTTTTCTGTTATTATTAACAATTATTTCTACTCAAGACGGTAAATGAAATGTCCTGATGATAGGGAAGGGACTGACCTGATGGGTTAGTTATTGTGTTTGGCTTTTGTTTTTGATAGGACAATGAAGTGCAGTTGTTTAAGTGTATTAAAGCGTTGGTTTGTCACCAAATTCACGAACAAACATTTTAATCCACTAACTGATTGTACCATATCGTATATCGTATAAGATATAAGGAAGTTCTAGCATATGTCCGGAACCGGACAGTGTCAAATTCTCCAAGCCTTCTTTCCTCATTATGAGTCCTTGAAATTTCCACCTTCTAATTCCAAATATAACCGTCCTTTCCATTTCTCATTAAAACTTAGTTTGTTATCTCCTTTAACAACGGTATTCTCATCATCTTTCTGTATAACCCTATTTCTGTTACATCAAGTTTCTTCTTCATTGGTGAGGAGATTGTACAGCCTTCATTGCCATATGGGAAAACTAGTATTACGTAAGAGCTTAGAATTTTTTCTTTGTTTCAAATGAAATTTTCTTCTTTTTATTTTTAATCATTTCACCTCAAGCAAGGCAATAAAGTAACTAAGACACAAGAGTTTGCTGAGTGTGAAAGAATATAAGAAAAAGACAACATTATTAAGGAGAGGAAACAATAAAATAACTGTAATTAAGAAGACAGAATATAACGATTGACATTGCATTTAAACTTTTAACGATCAGTTTGACTGGAATTGAAGAAGCGGAAACTGTGTCCCACCAACGAGTAGTGCGATAGAAGGAACTGTTACCATAGAACTTACGGTTAGATCTAGCCATTTCAACTGTAAAAAGATTACCGCTAACTTAGTACTGTGCTTTAATTCATAAAGTTTATGTACCATAAGGATATGTTCATCAGAACAATTACCATGAAAATTGTTGGGGCGCACCCACCTTCTCATCAGAATGGACTGATCTCTCTACTACTAATAGGACAGTTCTATAGAGTTCTGGGAAGATCAGGTGACCATCACACTTCCGTCTCTCTACCGGAAGATACAGTTGGACTTTATACTCTCTTCTGATTGTTACTGACTAACCTGCGTTCGTTTGACTACTAATCTCTCTGTTGTAAATACCTCTTCAGATATACCAGTATTTTCCCTACGTATGTGTTTGTCCTTATTTCAATACACGCAGTCGGAAACACTCAACATCTCAACAAAAATATTTATAGAGAAGGCACAGAGATGCTGACTCAAGCCGTGATGTCAGGTCAGGACTATTAATATTGCAGACGCTTCTTTGTTTTGTTTTATTTTTTTATCAACAATCTCTAAATATATAACAGAAGAACTATTTATGTTACGTGCTAAATTTAAGGTAATAAAATATCCCGTTCATCAGAAAAATTACCATGTAAATATTCATAGAAAAGCCACAGAGAAGCTGTGACTCAAGCCGAGATGTCAGGTCAGGACTATAACATTGCAGACTCTTCTTTTTTATCAAGGATCTCTAAATGCATAACAAAAGCACAATTTATGTTACATGTTAAATTTAAGGTAAAAAATATTCTGTGCTTTGTATTGAGATATCCTTTCTTTTTATTTTTTATTTTTTTATTTTCTGAATTTCATATAAAAATTTCTAAATATCCTGTTCTTGTGGACAGCTTAGGAAAATAATTCTAGTAAATCGATGAAAGTCAAGATTAATCATAACATTCGTATTAATCAGATTATCACGCAGTAAGCATTGCTCAAACTCCTGGTGAGATTAAACTTTTCGTCTGAAAGAATATGGAGAGGGAAGAATATTTTTCCCTGTTCATTCAGTAGAACCAAACCAGAAAGCACAGGATTATTTTTTTCCTGCAGACGTTGCTAAATTTAAATTTTTAAGAACGCCCTACACTTTCTATTAAAAATAGATTTTTTTACCATAAAGATGGGACAAAGAAAATGGCGCCACATCTAATCTCCTCTACGTTAAGTCTTGCAATAATCTTTACTTTGCTTTTTGACGGATTTCTTTCTACGACGTATTATCATTACTTTTCCTTCGCTGTTCCGATTTTCATAGAAATTCTTGGTTTTTTGGCCGTTACACGTTCCGACCTTCTTCAACTGTCTGACGTCGTACAGTAACCGTCTTTAGAATTTAGAATCTAGAAAACAGACAACACTGAAGCATAGAGTGCAACCCTAGAGGATAAAGAATCAGTTTATATAGTAGGCACTGGCAACCTCCTCAGTAGACCTAGCACAGAGATAAATACCGTTTTAGTGTCTGGGAATAAGAAAGAAAAAACATTCAAAAAAATTTCAACACCTCATATATTTCCACAGGTAGGACATATATAGTATCACCTTCTGAATACGGATATTGGGTCTAATTTCTACCAGAGACAATCTATCGAATTAAATCGTTGATTAAAACGTATAGTTTTCTGGCAGTTGTAAGTCCGTCCCGACGTCTCTTCGTTGTGAAAAGCCTTGTATCCGTGAAAGAGAGAAAAGTGAAACAGATGAAAAAGAATTGGTGAGTTTTAACTACAAACGAAATATCCTCCAAGAATTGGATGCAGAATGAACGATATCATAAATTCCTGTGGCCTGGATCAAAGCTGTTACTCAAAATTCCAAGTTGGAAAGTCAGACACCTGAAGAAGTCCGGATGTTACATCAATCGAAACATTGCGAATATAACAACCAAGATGGGAATGCGAGTCCGGATAGCAAACTATGTAACAATAATAATAATACAATATAATATCATAAAAATATAATATAATAATATAACAATATATTATATAATAATATAGCAATATAATATAATAATATAGTATAATATAATAATATAATATAATATAATAATATAACAACATAATATAATAATAATAATAATAATACAATATAATATATTAATATAACAATATAATATAAAAATATATAATAATATAGCAATGTAATATAATATAGTATAATATAATAATATATACTAATATAACAACATAATACAATAATAATACAATATCTTATAATAATGATATAATAATATAACAATATAATATAATAATATAATACATAATAATATAGCAATATAATATAATAATATAGTATAATATAATATAATAATATAACAAAATAATAATAATAATAATAAACATGTCGTAATCCACGGGGCATAATCTCGGCTCGGGATTCTTCCAAACTTATCGAAAGCCTCGACTCTGCTAAAGCTAACAGTTCAGAAAAAAATCTTGGGTTATTCTTAAGAACCTTAGCCCAGCCATATCCCCAATAATGGCATAATTGTTTAACCACTACCTGAAGGAAAAATGTTATGTATGTCTAAAGACGGTGTCAGCTGTGTGTCCAGTTTACAAGAATGTGGATGAGCACACGTCATCGTCACAATATCGTTTCATAAGCCTCCTCAATGTGACCAGTAAACTTTTCTTGAAAAGAACATTCAAAGAGGATTAATCAATACTTATACATAGAATGGAAAAAAACTTCATAAAATCAAATACTACTCAAATCCTACTCTAATGTGGCTACTTGCCATGTTTATAAGTAGAAGCGGTCCATTGCCAGAGTAATAGGGAAGAGCAGGAAGTACGCTGCGTCCTACTCTACAAACATATTCCACTGGTAAAGAGGAAGTTCCACTTAGAGGGCTTCTTTCTCAGAATTGTTACTTTGTGGAAAAGACACCCGAAAAGGTGCTTCCCTGGACAATGCCATCTTCTAGAGTTAACCGTTATATATCCTACATATACTCATAATACTCCTTTTACGCCCTTACAACAACCGCATTCAGTAACACTCTACCTTAAGTGGCTCTTAGGCTTTGTATCGGATGAAATACAGAATTTTTTTCACTTAAGAAAAAGTTCCTCCTTATTTAGAAAAAATATTTTCTTTTTTTAATTTTTATTAATGTTTTTTTAACCATTTCACGGCCACAGACAGCGTTTTGATCCTTAGTTTGGTGTCAATCATTTGTCTTGAAACCACTGAAGTGATCGCACTATTTGTCATTCACTTATACAGAATGCATGGTCGTAAGCAAAATAGAGACCCCAAGTTGTGAGCTACATATCGGGGATGTCAAAATGAAATAGTTATAGAGATACAACTGTGTAATCATCAGAAAAAGGCAGTTTTAATTTCTAGCCCACATAATGAGGAAAGAGAGCTTGGAAAATATGACATTCACAAGACAAATAGAAGACAAAAGCGACAAAGGGAAAAACGCTCAACCTAGCTAACGATCTCGGGTTGGCAGAACAGGAAGTTGTGGAGAGCCATGATAGACCACGCCCTGAAGGGACACGACACATGGAAAAAGTGTAGTAACAGATAACATGAAAACTGACACCCAAATCCGATGTCGTATAAGAATAGAAAAAGATGTCTTCTAGAAATTAAGAGGCTTACGGCCATATCACGTTAAATACCGGTTCTCGTACGATCACTGAAGTTAAACAACGTCGAGGCTGGTCAGTACCTGGATGGGTAACTGCTTGGTAATACCAGGTGCTGTAAGCTTGGATGTGAGGGTGGTATGGCTTACGGCCACATCACGTTGAAAACACCGATTCCCGTAAGATCACAAACGTTAAGCAATATCGAGCCTGGTTAGTACTTAGATGGGTGACCGCTTGGTAATACCAGGTGCTGTAAACTTGGATGTGCGGCTGGTGTGGCTTACGGCCACATCACGTTGAAAACACCGGTTCCCGTACGATCCCAAACGTTAAGCAATGTTGTGCCTGGTCAGTACCTAGATGGGTGACCACTTTCGAATACCAGATGCTGTAAGATTGGATGTGTGTGTGGTATGGCATACGTCGAAACTTGTCAGTACCAAGATAGGTGACCAACCCCTTGGGAATATCAGGTTCTGTAAGCTTTGGTGTGCAGGTGATGTAATGGATAACGGCTTGGAATTAGAAATCGGAGAGCCGAGTTCTAATTCTAGTCGGGTTCATGATATTCACTTACGCACAAATACCCTTGGGAAAGGCATGAATCTACCTCCCCCCTCATGTTATTGTTTAATTGTATCAGTAAATCAATATTGTCTCAAAAAGATACCTTATAATCTGATAGAGGTGCACAGTTTTGATATTCTTGGGTCCGCTGACAAGACGTATTTTCTTCTGGTTATTTATTCTCAGGCTTTTGATGTTAAATGTGATCAGAAACATATTTTCTGAACCCCTGCCTCCAGTTCTAGCCGTCTTTTCCCTATTTCAATGTTTAATAAGTCTATTGTCCCCATGATAACATCACGGAAGCTGTGTAGTATGCAGGGTCAGCGCAAGGGACACGTGCCCCCAATCCTGAATCTATGATACAGAGACCCACTCTAATATTCCTCAATTTTTATAAGGCAGTATTCATATAAAATACAAATTTTATTCCAATTTAATTATGTATAACAATGGATCATACACAATATAGTTTGGTTTGATTTGGTTTGTTTTACGGTATATCAACCCCAATGGGTTAAATAATGCCAACAAGTTTTTTATTGCTGGTAATATTTTCTTTCAAATTATAAATTGGTAATATCTTTTTTTTTCTAAAAATGTATTGCTGGTAATAATAATTTTTTTTTTTACAAAGTATTTCTGGTATGTATTAAAACCTATATTTACACTTTCATAGTGTTTTGACCCCAGTTTGGACGTCAACTATTTGCCCATAGCTGGAAACCTAACGGGTGCTACCAACCCGGGTCAGGATGGACCCGGGAACATCAGCAATTTAGAGTTGATTCCACGCTCCTCAAAACCCCATGATCAGAGGCTTTGCTGCTGGATGTAGTTTATCGTCTTACCCAGGACACGGATGTAGATTACCGTCATACCCAAGACGGCATACACAATATAGATGAATAATTCAACTCGAAAAAATCGAAAATAAATCTAATGTATCTAAATAGAAATTAGAGACATGTCATAACAGATCATTCCATCTTAAATAAATCAACAATGTTTTGCGGTGATTTTTTAACATCGACTAATTTTTTTGTTAAAAAGTTGAATAATTTTAGCACATTCAATATTATGGATAAAAAGTAATGAAATTTATATAATTTTTTTTTCGAAAGTTAGCATTAGCAAAACATATCACCCCCCCCAGGAAAGTGACAATGCCACTAGAACGCAGGGGACAGGGCTGGTGCAAAGGTCTTGTACTCCCCTGAATCTATGTTACCCCAAATCTATGATAGCCACTAAATCGATGATACGGGGCCTCCTATTCTACGCCATCTCAATTTATCAAAAGGTAGTATTTATATAAAATACAAATTTTATTCCAACTAAATTATGTACAATAATGGATCATATGCAATAGGTGAACAATTCAACTCGAAAAATTGAAAATAAATACAATATATCTAAATACAAATCAGAGATATGTCATAATAGATCATTCCATCTTAAATAAATCAACAATGTTTTGCGGCAATTTTTAACATCAACTTGAGATTTTTCTTGTTAAAAAGTTGAATAATTTTAACATATTTAACAATATGAAAATAAAGAAGATCAATTCAAGATAAAAAAAATAGTCAATTTTATATAATGTTTTTTGAAAGTTAGCATTCGCAAAACATTTCACCCCAAGCATAGTGACAATTGCCGCTAGAACACAGAAAACAGGGCCGGTGCAAAGGTCTCGTACTCCACTGAATCAATGATACCCCGAAACTATGATAGCCACTAAATCGATGATACGGGACCTCTTACTCTAAGTTATCTCCATTCTTCATGAAGTAGTATTTATATAAAATACACATTTTATTGTAAGCTATTTATATACAGTAATGTATCATATAAAATATAAGCCAACAATTCAACTCGAAAAATTGAAAATAAATACAATGTATCTAATTAGAGACATGTCATAATATATCATTCCATCTTAAATAAATCAGCAATGTTTTGCAGCAATTTTTAACATCAAATTGAGATTTTCTTGTTAAATTGTTGAATAATTTAATCAATTCAACATTAGGGATAAAAAAAATATCGGATTTTATGTAATGTTGTTTCGATACTTAATATGAACAAAACAAATTCACGCATTTGGACGATGCTTTTCGTCGAAATGCGTTTAATTTGTTTTGTTTAGACTTCAGAATGACATCAAAATCCGCGAAAATATTTCCCCCTTTAATAGTCAATTGTACTTCATTTAATTTGTAACATACATAAATGTAGCTAGTAAGGAGCAAGTGTTGATAAGGTAGCGAGGGTCACAAAGTACTGCCCGGGGGCGCCAAGTCCGGTGGTTCGGGGATAGTACGCACCGACCTTGCCAACAGCAACCCCTTCCATCTTCTTCACTGTTCCTATTAAGACTCTCTCTCTCTCTCTCTCTCTCTCTCTCTCTCTCTCTCTCTCTCAACAGCAACCCTTTCCATCTTCTTCACTGTTCTATTAAGACTCTCTCTCTCTCTCTCTCTCTCTCTCTCTCTCTCTCTCTCTTTTTTCCTGCTCACCAATTCCTGGACCGATGCTCGAATTTTGTTACCGTTTTTTTTTTAATCGGTAACGCATATAATCACCCAGAAACCTTTCTTGTAAACCTCAGCTTTCACATTTAAATAAATCACTAATGTTTTACAGCAATTTTTGACATCAACTTGAGATTTTTCTTGTTAAAAAGTTGAATAATTTTGAACACATTTAACATTAAGGATAAAAATAGTGAATTTTATATTTGTCTCTTCGAAACTAAGGATGAACAAAACAATTTTACTGATTTGGTTAAAAAAAGATCCAATAATGACGTCAAAATCCACGAAAATATTTTACCCTTTCATAGCCAGTTGTGCTTAGTTTAATTTGGAACACATATAAATGTGGGTAGAAATAATCAAATATTGATACGATGGCGAGGGTCGCAAAGCGAGGCCCAGGGCCCTCAATCAGGTCTACCCCGGTCGTGGGCTTCGGGGGTATTACACGCCGGTCCTGGTTGCATGGGACATTTTCATAGAATAATAATAATAATAATAATAATAATAATAATAATAGCTGATTTAAGAAATTCAGAAAATACTGATTAATAATCATTTCTTTCTTCTTTCAGTTACGAATATATTAACATCATTTGGTTTTGTTTCAACTGGTTGGCTATGAGCAATTCCTGCTACAATCCCTTCATTTACGGGCTTCTCAATGTAAGTTATATTTTCATTATTTCTTTTAACAACATCAACACATTGACACATCACAGGGTGCACTCAATCAAAATCTGCTGCTAATAAAAAATGGAACCACCATTTCGTTTTATTTCATTTATAGTTATCAATACTCCACAAACGTATAATCGCAAGCCACAAATACGCCCTACAATCCACTTTAAAGCAGTATCTAGTTCTACTGATTGATGAAACAGCCATATCATCTTATTTAATTAATCGTTAAAGAAATGAAGATACATGCAAATACTCATCAAAATGTTAGTAATAGTATTTGATAAGGCTTCGTCGAAAGATAACAATGAAAATAAATACTAATAAGAATGAATTACAATCGTTAGCAATGCTTCATCTAATAAACAAAATAACTTGGAAATAAATGCTAAACAAAAGAAAACTTTTAACAAAGCCTCATCTGAAAAGAAAATTTTACAATAGTAAACAATTCCTTATCTTATAAGAAATGAAGATGAAAGTAAATACTAGTCAAGCATTAATAATAATGGCTGCCAATGATTCATCTAATAAAAAATGAAAATGAAAGTAAATACTAGTGACAAATTAATAATAATGGCTGACAATGCTTCGTCTAATAAAAAATGAAGATGAAAGTAAATACTAGTGAAAAATTAATAATAATGGCTGACAATGCTTCATCTAATAAAAATGAAGATGAAAGTAAATACTAGTCAAAAATCAGTCATAATGGCTGAAAATTCTTCATCTAATAAGACATTTAGATGAAAGTAAATGTGAGTGACAAATTATTAATAATGGCTGACAATGCTTCATGTAATAAGAAATGAAACTGAAAGAAACTACTAGTCTAAATTGAATAATAATGACTGGCAATGCTTCATCCCTTAAGAAATGAAGATGAAAGTAAATACTAGTTAAAAATTAATAGTGGCTAAAATGCTTCATCAAATATAGATGAAAGTAAATACTAGACAAAAATTAATAATTTTTGTCAATACGTCATCTTGTAAAAATGAATGCAAAAGTAAATAATGCCAAAAGTTAATATTAACAACTAAAATGTTTTCTAGAAATTAAATCCTATATATATTTTTCAATTATTAAAATCTCATCAGAATATTTGTTTGAAAAGCAATAATTACTAGGGCAAACTCAGCCAAAATACTTCCGGACGTAGTTGTAGACATACCACGTGTTATTTTTGGACCATTTAGAAAATAACACATCATTACAAACTTCTCTGTAAGGACAAATCGAATGTTATTATGTAATTCGGAAAAGAATACCGTGTGTAACAGCAAAATTGTCCAAATCGTGTAACAGCATAATTGTCCATCCCGCAAAATGTTTAATATATCAAAAAACACTAAACTAATTGAGTTTCTTTTTTCCGGGTATTCAGATAAGCCGTTTAGCCATCTTGACACTATCTGTCGTAAGAATCACTGAAAAACCCTTTGAGTTATTCAGCTAAAAAGAGAGCCGAGTACAATCATTTTGTGTCAGCCCCACTACCTTCCCAAATGAGCAATGTTGAGAGGAAAAGGATCATTCAAGCATTGTAATGGTACAAACAATGGTTCAAGCATTGTAATGGTACAAAAGTTCATACTCTAGATTCCATCTTCAAAATCCATTCAAGACCCATCAAGAGAACGTTGAATAGGTTTTCAAAAGAGGGAACAGTAGAGGGGAAAACTAGATCAGAAGGTTATAACTGCAAGAGGGGGCATCATTTCAACTTAAAAAGTTAAAAAGATCAATTAGAAAAGATCCAACTCCACCCCTAAGACGTTTGGCAGGTGAGAGAGGAGTTTCAGATATGATAGTCCAAAGAGCAGTGAAAAAAAATTGTGAGGTGCTTTTTTTACTCAAGCACAGAAAGTTAGAACTTTAGAGAAGACGAAGATCATCTTGAATAAGTTATAAAATAATCCTGGAATATATATATATATATATATATATATATATATATATATATATATGATTTTTATATCAGTCCTTCATGAGCTACTGATGATTATCTATGGTTAATTAATAATGAACATGTCATTTTCTTTTATGATCGATTTCATCACGATTCTTCTGTTAAACTTGGAGAGTAATTATACATTCTCATTGCTCCAGTAGTGTTATAAATAAGTAGAGTCCAGTAGTGTTATAAAAACCTCGGAGAATTCCAGTAAGATATTTTTAATCATTTCTAAGATACAACGGTTCAAAGCTTAATCTAACAAATGGGCAATTTTACTTTTACACGATTTGGACAATTTTGCTGTTACACCCGGTATATAAATGTTATTTCAACTAACGTTCTATTCCTACTTATCCTCTAGAAAATGATCTTTTATATGTTTCCTTTAAAACATGTGTTGTTCACATTATTCTGACTATTATCCTCATCTTTGTTGCCATATTTATTACAACTTTTCGGCCGTTGGCGCTCCGGCCTTCTTCAGGTGGTTGGAATGTCGAACTGAACCCTTTATTTCGTAGGCTGTTCTAGTTCCACGTGCCATGCCAGGTCAGTTATCAGTTATCTCCTGTTAATTCGCCTCTCCAAGTTCTCCACTGTCTTAACCAGGTATTGAACTCACAACTCTTTATGTCCTTTATAACCAACGCCTTTAGCTACTGTGCCATGTGTCCTTAAGGACATCTGTGTATGAATTTCTAGGACTTATTAACTTAATGTCTTCAGCAACCATTTTTACCAGAACTCATATTGCAATTTCCGTTGTTATTATTGCTTTTCTCTGGCACTCCTTATTACTGGTTCCCATATTGTATTCATTTCTATGCTTGGTCGACTCAGGGGATATTTGTTGCCTAGCATATGTGCTGATTCCTTAAGTTTACAAATTTTCCAGTGTTCTTTGTCCATGATTTCAACCTGACCCCACAGAGGGCGGTGATCTTTCTTATCTCTCCATATCTGGTCAGCCACGCCTGATCTTTCTACTTCTTATGTTACAGCTTTTTGGTGTTCTTGAAGTTTTACCTTAAGGGGGCGGCCTGTCTCCCCTTTGTTTACAAGCTGCACGAAATGGTTCACATACAGCGTTAATCATCTTCTCCTCTAGGGGGTTGTCTTACTCAGGTGATGTATCTTGAAGTGACGTCCAGCTTTTGAAGGTTGTCCTGATGTTATGAAACGTTGTGATAAATGTGGCAACAAAGATGAGGACAATAGTCCGAATAATGTAAATAGTGTACATAATACCTCTCATCTCAGAAATAATAAATATGGACAAAGATACAAATTTGTTGAATTTGTAAATTAAATGTCTCAGAATCCCAGATACAAATTTGATAAATGTTCTACAAAACCCTGGGTAGACGGATACCAACCGATTCATTTCATACCCCGTGCTATCTACTTGCTGCAGTAGATTGAAGCCTTACATAAATTTTGTTATAAATTACATGTAAAACACAAGCTGAAAATAAATACTGGTTGAAATTCTTAACCCTTTGGGCCTTGCGTTCCCGAACAATTTTAACCCTTCTGTCTGAGATCCTGAGTCAAAATTTGCAAATAATTTTGTATGCGATGTTTCACGGAGTACGGTGTAATAATGGATAGCGGCACGGATTTATGTAATCGGAGAGCCGAGTTCGAATTCCAGTCGGGTACATTCCATTCACATACGTGCTAATACCCTTGTGAATGGTATGAAACCTCTTCTTCTCCTCACCCTCAGCTATGGCTAAATAGCAGGACAGACCGGGTTCTATTGCCCTGGATAGCAATTGGTCTACCGCAGAAAAAATGACAACCTACTGCGGGAAAAAATCTGCCTCGAAAGATACATGAACGCCTATCACGCATGGCACATAACTGAATGTTTCACGGTAGATATAAAAATTGTTACAAGAGTTTACGGACCATTCAACCCGTGGCTAGGAATTAAGTGATTTTTCTCTACCACTGTTCAACCGATATCTGGGCATTACGTCATTTTTCTCTACCACTGTTCAGCCAGTGGCTGGGTATTAAGTCATTTTTCTCTACCACTGTTCAACCGATGGCTCGGTATTACGTCATTTTTCTCTACCACTGTTCAACCTAAGGCTAGGTATTACGTCATTTTTCTCTACCACTGTTCAACCGATGGCTCGGTATTACGTCATTTTTCTCTACTACTGTTCAACCAGTGGCTGGGTATTACGTCATTTTTCTCTACCACTGTTCAACCAATGGCTCGGTATTACGTCATTTTTCTCTACCACTGTTCAACCTAAGGCTAGGTATTACGTCATTTTTCTCTACCACTCTTCAACCGGTGGCTCGGTATTACGTCATTTTTCTCTACCACTGTTCAACCAGTGGCTGGGTATTAAGTCATTTTTCTCTACCACTCTTCAACCAATGGCTCGGTATTACGTCATTTTTCTCTACCACTGTTCAACCGGTGGCTCGGTATTACGTCATTTTTCTCTACTACTGTTCAACCAGTGGCTGGGTATTACGTCATTTTTCTCTACCACTGTTCAACCGATGGCTGGGTATTAAGTCATTTTTCTCTACCACCGGTAAGGCGCTGCTCAAAGGGTTACTAGTAATCAAACAAATAATAATGTCCAGTTTTAATAATTTTCATTCTATTATTTCAATATTACGCTTAGGAAAATCCATCAGAAGAATCGAAGTTGAACCCTCAGTTTTCATTAATGTAATATTTCCAACAGAAAGCACAATTTCCCATATTTTTATAACTAATAAAAATTGCTTTCCTCTTAACATAGTTTTTAAGTAACCCTTTTGCGATAACAAAAGTCACTAACATTTCAGCTGGTAAGTAAATGATAACCGTAACACAATTCTTATTCTGCGCTTTATTTCAATAGATATGTTTAAGATTTGGTTTAGTTTGGTTTGGCATGTTTTACGGTATATCAACCTCAATGGATTATTTAATGCCGGCAGGAATTTTATTGCTGCTAATATTTTCTTTTTCAAAAATGTATTGCTAGTGATATTTTTAAACTTCAAAAATGTATTGCTGGTAATATATTTTTCTTCAAAACGTGTTGCTGGTAATATTTTTTCTTCTGGTAATATTTTGTAAATAGGATATCTTTAACTTCTTTGTGTCGTTTACCCTATAACAAAAAAGTCTTTTCCTAAACTCGATGTAAATGTCAAAACTAAATATCCCAATAAAAGCAAACTTATCCTTTATAGCAAAGAAAATGTATTTAATTATGGTAAAGATAACCTTCAAATAATCCACTTTCCACTTGAAAGGTAAAGGTTTTGCTTGACAAAACGACTGGTAATATTTTTCGTCAAAAATGTATTGCTGGTAATATTCTTTTCAAAAATGTATTGCTGCTAATGTTTTTCCAAAATGTATTGCTGTTATTAATTTATTGTAGATACGTGTTTTTATTTGTTGTTCAAACATTCATTGCTGGTAATAATTTCTTGCAAAAATGTATTGCTGGTATTAAAATCTATTTTACACTTTCATAATGTTTGACCCCACTTTGGGGTTTAACTATTTGCCCACAGCTGGGACCCTAACAGGTGCTACCACCCCGGGTCAGGGTGGATCTGGGAATACCAGCAATTAAAAGTTGGTTCCATGCTATTCAAATCCTCCTGTTCAGAAGCCTCGCTGTAGGATGTAGTTAATCGTCTGACACAGGACGCGAAATTAGTTTATATTCTTACCCCAGACGGATAAACTTAAGATAACTTCTCATTTCTTATGTTCCCAATTCAACTAAATATTTCATGAAATCTTTAATTTTATTTTTTGTTGTTGATTTATTTACTTATTGAATTTGTTTTTTTGTTTGACAGGAAAAATTCAAGCGTGAATTTCGACAGCTGTGTAATGTATGTTTCTGCCGGAAGGAAAAACGTGATCTGATTGGCCCAGATTTTTCCGATGACAGCGTTCAACCAATCAGAAAGTACAGTGTCAATGAAAACGCCCACTGGAACCGTACAAATTTTGACAATAATCGCTCGAAACGTTACATCCGGGTACAAACAGAATACACGGAACAGAGCATGGTATAGTGTCACCATGCGTCCGCAGCACAACAACCATATGACGTCATTATACACACACACACACACACACACACACACACATATATATATATATATATATATATATATATATATATAAGAGACTTTTTGCACAAAAAAAACTGTCGACCCGTATGATTTTGGGATAATAATGCTTGTAAGGCGAGCATTCTTTGTAAAAAAAAGATTCAACAATATTAGTACGAAGAGCATTAATATTAAACAAATAATATATGCTTTGAACATTTTATATCATTTGGTTATATATATATATATATATATATATATATATATATATATATATATATATATATATATATATATATATATATTTTGTTTCTCTGTATATACGTGAGTCGACTGAAAAGTTCATAAGCTGACCAAAATATGAATGTCAGTAGACACATCAGGGTTTAAGCTATCAGCTTGTGTGTCTATTTTCATTTATATCTTGGTAAGCCTATGAACTTTTAGGACCACCTATATATATATATATATATATATATATATATATATATATATATATATATATATTTTGTGTGTGTGTGTGTATGTATGTATAATATATGCTTGTGTGTTTGTGTGTGTGTGTGTGTTTGTGTGTTTTACATGAAAACCTGAACTATTTTGAAATGTGTCAAAAGGACAAAAAGATGCTCCACAAAGCGCTGAAAAGAAATTATATTCGTCCATTTATATATAGAATATATTTATATGTGTTTGTGTACGTGTATGAAAGAGAACGTCTGTTCGTTCGTGTGTGTTTGTAAATAGGATATCGTTAACTTCTTTGTGTCGTTTAGCCTATAACAAAAACGTCTTTTCCTAAACTCAATGTAAATGTCAAAACTAAAAATCCCAATAAAAGCAAAGCGTATCCTCTATACCAAACAAAATGTATTTAATTATGGTAAAGATGACTTTCAAATAATCCGCTTTCCACTTGAAGGGTAAAGGTTTTGCTTGACAAAATGACTGAGAAAGGAGGACCAACAGACACACGAAGTCACGCACAGTTTGTTAAGCACAGATAGATAGATAGATAGATAGATACGAACAGACTTTTTAAATAGATAGATGGAGAGATAGAGAGAGAGAGAGATTAACAAACTAAGATATAGACAGAGATAAAAACGAACAGAACGAGACAGATAGATAGATAGAAACAAACTTAGATGTATAGTGATTAACTAAGCGTAGATTAGTTGTGGCCCAAGGCCGAAATTATGGGGTACTCAGTGAGAATCGAACTCACTATTCAGTCGTATTTGATCTGGCGAGGCATGCTTGCTACGCATTAAACCAAGTTGAAGTGCCCAGATAGATAGATAGATGGAGCAGTTTATATTATTTTTAAATTCGATATATCGTATAAATATCAGATACTGTATATTATGTTATCGGAATATCAAATTTCAATTTCTTACATTGTTTACGAATTACATGAGTAATCACATACTCAAAAAGGGATTATAGAGCGAGTGACAGTTTTTTTCAGTAAACGAATAGTTTAATGTTTCCATTGGAGGGAAGAGGGCAGTATTTCCTCGTTATCTGTAAGCCAATCATATTTGCCATCTGCAGGCCAATCATATTTACGATTTGTAACGACCAATCATATTGCGGTTCCTACTTCCAAAACAACATACGATTAGGTAGACATTCACTTTGAGAAGACAATAAATATGGAAGAATTATTAATCAGAATATATTTGATAAACTAGATGGAAGGAAACGAAACAGATTTCTCTTCTGTCCTTGGCGAAATTAAAGATAAAAGATAACGAACCTTGCAGATATATATATATATATATATATATATATATATATATATATATATATATATATATATATATATGACGTAAAAACGTATTTTAAGAAAAAATAACGGAGACATTTGTAAAATGCGGGATATTCAGACAGATTTAATGTAAGAGAAGTCCGACTCTGCACTTTAGAATGCTACATTTTTTTCTGGAATTCCATTGCCCGACCCCAGGTAAAAATCCAATATTTACAATGCCGGCTTACCAAAGTCAACATCGGTTGCTCATTTAGAAGCTTGATGCAAAACAATCCTCATCTGGCATCCGTGTGTTGAACTAAAGCTTTTACCATTGTGCTATTGGTAAAATCGTAATACCACTGTTCTATCGGTAATTTATTGTTGTTTTATCGGTAGCTTACCATCGTTCTAAAGGTAAAATCATAATACCATTATTCTATCGGTAATTTATTGTTGTTTTATCGGTAGCTTACTACCGTTCTGTCGGTAAATTCATAATACCACTATTCTATCGGTAATTTATTGGTGTTTTATCGGCAGCTTACCATCGTTCTATCGGTAGAATCATAATACCACTGTTCATCGGTAATTTATTGTTTTATCGGTAGCTTACCATCGTTTTATCGGTAAAATCATAATACCACTGTTCTTTCGGTAATTTATTGTTGTTTTATCGGTAACTTACTATCGTTCTATCGGTAAAATCATAATACTACTGTTCTATCGGTAATTTATTTTTGTTTTATCGATAGCTTACCATCTTTCTATCGGTAAAATCATAATGCCACTGTTCTATCGGTAATTTATTGTTGTTTTATTGGTAGCTTACCATCGTTCTATCGGTAAAATCATAATACCACTGTTCTATCGATATATTTCCGATATTATTACTACATTTTTAAATCATTTTACCCCAAGCAAGGCGGGAATGCCATTTGTACGCAGCGGGTCTCAGGGAGAGAAAGTAAGAGAAAATAAGTATAGGGAGAATTGGAGAAAGGAAAAAGATGAACAGGATTCAAGAAGATAGAAGTTGGCGGTTCATTTAAATTTTTGAATGTTTTAGTTATCAGAGGAGGTACGGTAGAGTAGTGGGTAGTGGCTCGGATTGAGGAATTACAGTCGAATCCATTACATTCCCTTACGTGATAATACCCTTGGGAAAGGCATGAATCCTCGTCTTCTCTCCCCAGCTATGGGTAACTAGTAAGAAAGACCAGGTTCTATAGCCTTGGATGGCAACTGGTCTACCGCAGTAAGAAATGGCAACCTACTGCGGGAGAAAAACCTGCGTCGTCAGTCATGTATCGAAAGATATATGATCGCCCACGCGTGTATCACGCATAGCACATAACTGACTGACTGAGTTATGAGCGAAGAAAGTAAACGGAAGTTTTCTAGTTGAAGTGGCGATTGCATTTAGCTATTTTTTTTTTTTTTTAAGCATTGTGCGCCAAGCAAGGCGTGAAGCCACTAGGATACAGGGGTTTTGGAGCGAGAGCAGATATGAGTGATAGGAGAAAGGAAGAGGAGAAGGATAGTGGGTAGATCAAGGTAATTGGAGATGTCGATTGACATTACATTTGAATAGTTGGAGATTATAGCTTTCAGGGAAACAGTAATTGGGGAGGGTGTTCCACTGGCGAGAGGTGCGAGGTATGAAGCTATTGGAGTAGAAGAGACGGCTACATTTGAAGGTTTCTCAACAATAAAAGGATGGGTAATAGATGCCTATGTCGTAGCACACTTAAATCCATGTAGTTGGGTTACCAAGGTAAAAAAAAAAACAGATGGTCAGAGCAGTCGCCATGAAAATATTAGTAGAAAAGACAAAGAGAAGCCATATCACGTCAGTGAGAAAGTGACTGAAGTCGACATGGTTTGTCTGGGTCGATTACATGACAGATCATTCTTTGGATTTTGTCAAGAATCTCGAGAAAGCTAGACCAGAACGGTAAATTTGTAAATGTCAAAGATAGACTCTAACGAGAAAAAGAATCCCGACACGCCACAGCGACCCAACTTCTCAAGCACTTTTTTATCGGTAAATAACCACCGTTTTATCAGTAAAATTATACTACATCTGCCGGTAGATTATTGTTCTTCTGTTAATAAATTACCACCGTTCTATCGGTGAAGTTATAATACCACTGTCCTACCTGTAAATTATTGCTGCTCTATGGGAAAATTATCACCATTCTATCGGTATCATTTTACTACCGGCAAATTATTGTTGTTCTCTCGGTAAATTTATAAAACCAATGATCATTTGGTAAATTATTGTTGTTCTAACGGTAAATTACAACCATTATATCGATGGATTTATGATACCATTGCTCTATTGGTAATTTATCGATATTAGATTATCACTATACTATAGATGTGCTACCACTTCCTATGTTCATATATATATATATATATATATATATATATATATATATATATATATATATATATATATTTTGAGTGGAAATTAGTGAGGAAGATTTACCAGAATTAAAGCTGACAATATTTGTATCATGATTTAGAAAGAAAAGTAATGTTTGATATGAAACGCTGTGAGTTTTTATATATTTATCGGTTACGCAGCCTGATCTCCTCCCCTTGGTAATTAGATGTTATTTGTTTTATTGTAACATATCGTTAGTAAGCCAAAATATTTCGTGTTTGCTTTCTTTGGACATTTTCACTTTTAATTTTAATGGCAGATTTTGTGCATGCTGTGTATTTCCGATTTAACGTGACTTAATGAATAGAATCACATGGTGTCAATTAAAATTAATTTTGAGCAACATTAATAACGATATTAGAAACCTGATTATGGCAGATTTTCTACATTTTGTGCATTCCCATTACTACAATCGTTAATTGATAAAATAAACAATTAAAAAATAGAAGAAAATAAAATTATTCCTCCTACCTACTTGTCAGATAGCTAATACCATGGATCATAGAATGGTTTCTGGGACTTAATGTTATCTGTCTATGATCTCTGGTACTGGATCTTTGGCAATGTACGCGGGGGATGATTTTTGCCAATGTTTAACCTTTGTGCCGCCAAATAACAAACGGTGTGTCAAAAGGATGGTTATTCCCTTGACACCGCTATTACTGTATACACTTTTGACTCCCTCGGCAATGTTTGTTTTTAAAAGAGAAATAGATAATAATTTAAGTTTATTCAACCTTTCCTGTTTTATAG